AAGCTGGCGGGCGGCGGTGCTACCGCAGCAGACTTGCACAACCGCACGGCTTGCAGCGCTCAGCGCGCGTTTCCTAACTCAGGCTGTTTGCTCTTTTCGATTTAAACGGAGCGTCAGGGAATTCAGGGAGGTGTTGCACAACCTTGGCTTGGGCTCTTAAGGAAAGTAAGATTTTCATGCATTTTATAAAGTGTCGGTGCATAATGTAGAACCAAAGACCAAAAAAAAAAAAAAAAAGAAAAAAGACACAAAAACCCTTTTACCCCCAAAACCACAAACCTGAAGAGATGCAAGCAGAGCCCACTATCGCCAGTTAAGTTCAGGATAGTAAAGCACACGTTTTGTGCCATAGAAAGCAGAAACTTTGTTCAGTGGGAAACAAAAGATGTCAGGAATAAGCAGAAGTTGTGCTGCCCGTGGCTCCGCAGAAGCGATGCCGGCTGGCAGGCAGTCACCCTGGGACGGACGTCCCCAGGACAGGAGCCGTCCCCGTCAGAGATCCACTACGCTTTCTGCCAGCCAGAAAGAGCTCCCCGTGCTTCAGAAGTCCAAGGGAGCATTTCTCTTAATGCTTAAGAAAACCCAGACCACCCGCAAACAAGCCAGCCTGCCCCCAGCAGCTCGCCTCAAGCCGGTTCTAGGGGAATTGTGGTCCCTTTTGCCAGCACGAGGAAGAGTGCGATCCTTGCTGGTGTCAGGGTTTTGGACTTTGCTCAGACGCAGCAGGGGAAGAAGGTCATTACTGGGAGGCAGCTTTTACCCAGCTTGATTTGTCACCTCCCCCAAAATCAGCAATACAGCCTCACGCCTCTGTTTTCAACACCAGGTTACCTTGACCTGGGCAGGAACAGTTTGGGGTTTCATTGTTGTTAATTCTTCCTTCATACCAGCTGAAGCGAACAGACTTCTTACTGAGTCCCCTGGTTGGTGGTTTGTGCTTGGTAGTTTGGCTTCAGCACTCCCAAAATGTCAATGTTTCCCTGAAGAGAAGGAAAAGAATTGAGAAAGTTGCAGGAACACAGGCAGACACCCGGGGACTTGCATCTTTCACCCATTTACATTTGCATGGATCCGACGTATCGGGCTACACAACCGCAACGGGCACTGCCACAGCCCTGACGACTTCAGCCTCAGCACCGCTGGAGTCGTCCTTGTTTTACAAAAGGTGAACCCGGCACAGAGACCTTACCTGGGTTCCTCAGGGTGCGGCACCTCGCGGTGGCACTCGGCCTCCGAACAGCCGGACCAGCGGTTGGAGGTGTTTTTCCTTTGAAAACTGAAATCGCAGACCTGTGAAATGAGGAGAGACCTCTGCCCGAGCCCAGCACGCACCGGCAGCTTTGTAGGTCATTTACAGGCAAACTAAAGACAAACTCAAGTGACTCGGAAACCTGAGGGTTTAAAAAGAAAAGCTCCTAGAAATGCTGATTTCCAGCCTTTCCTGCACGCAGGGCAGCCACACAAGATGCTTTTGTGCCGTGGCTGCTCACTTGCACGAGAGGCTTCGTGTTCCTGTGGCTACTTTAGGGGGAAAAAAGACCAGCAAGCAGGGGAGGACCCACGGCTGACAGCTAAGGAGGGCTCCCGCCCTCCCGTGGTTCACGCTTCACAGGTACCCGACAGGCTCGGTCCGTCACCGCGGCAGCTCACAACCAGCAGCTGTAGCGATTTGCCCATAGAGGCCGGTATTAACGTCTTCACTTTGCGCCCACAAGAGCACCCGAGTATTAAGGACTACAGCAAGCGCCCAGGTGAACGTGGAGCAATCGGCACAGGTAGGGTATTAAAGGTGAAAGCCCTCAGAGCGCCATTAAGAACCAGAACCAACCTCGTCACGCCATTTCGCTTTCTCCTGATAATGCTCTTGGGCTGCCCCATTACCAGTGAAACGCAGAGGCTTGGGAGAAAAAGGGGTTTCCCTGGATCTGGACACCAGTACAAGACACAAGAACAACCACCGCACCTGAAGCCTCGCTACAGACCCACCCCACAGACCCGAACCCCCTACTCCTGAACGCAGGGAACACACCCGCCTGCTCCTTGTCCCGAGGCTGCGCTGGCAGCGGGGATACAGCCCGCTTCCAGCAGCTTTTATGCAGCTGGAGATTGGAGGGAGCCGCACGGCTCTTCATCGGCTGCGAGCTTTTAGGGAAGTTTCCAGATAAATCTGCGTGAATGGTCAATGAAATTATCAACAAGACAAGTTGAGAAGGGGAAAAACCAGAACCAAAACGAACATTAGCACCTCTCCCCATGCAGCCGCTCCTCTGAGAGCGCGCGCGCCCGGCAAGCGGGCCTGGTCCGTGGCAGCGGCCAGAACCGCCCTCTCTTTGCAACTCGGGACACTGCAGCTTAAAACTGGTGGTGGGCTCACATGGCTGCCGAGCACAGCCCCCTCCTCAGGAGGGGGGGACATTCTGCCTCCTGGGTGTCCGCAGGGCTGGGGCTCTTTTGTTTGTTTTAAAAATCTCATTACAGTCAACTACCAACAGCTACAGGTATTTGCACACAGGCATTTCCACACTGACGTAGTGGAGTCTGAATTACTGAACTATAAATACCACTTCATCTGTTTTGGGAGTGCATTGTCTAAAGATTCTCCTTTAAATAAATAAAATAGAAAAACTAAAGCCATCAAAACCTATAGCCCAGTTTCATTAAGTGCTTCTGCTTTTTAATTCAACTGCTGGAGTATCAGCAGATCCTCGGTGAAAAGGCAGCCACATTTACAACTCGGGACGCAGTAAAGAGTATCAAACACAAAAGGAAGGGGCCAGCTACGATGACAGCACCCCCAAAGCTATATGATCAGAGGTCTACGGAAACCCAAGCACCGCGCTCAAGGCAAGCTGCCCAGCCTTGTACAGCTTCTTCCAGTACTGATGGCAGTAATGGTATAAAAAGTTATCCCAGCAACATTTATTCTGGTTTCAAAGTTAGCTGGATAAACCAGACACTGCAGACTGACTGCACGACCTGCTCTCCCTACCGTTAAGTAACGAAACCAAGAGCACTGCAGACGGGCCTCGCCTCCCGGGGGGCCGCACCGCGGCCAGCGGCGAAGAGGTGCAAGCTGACAGCAAGGGGCCCTAACTGGCTCCGAGGCGTGCAAGTCTCTTCCACCTCTGGGGAGCCAGCCCGGACGCGCCAGAATAAAGGCAACGTCGGCAAAACAGCTCAGAGGAAAGGAGGAACGCAGACCCGCTGCGAGCCGGCTTCAGCGCCCCAGAAGCTGCTTTCAGATCCGCTCAACTTCCAGCCTTGCTCTAACGCGCCGTTAAAAAGCAAACGCAGCCAAGCACCCCCTTTTATACGCGTGACGATAAGGGGAGGCAAGGGGGAACAAGAAGGTGGGTGGTTGTTGAAAGCAAAGTTTTAACCAAATTCAATGCCGATACTTGAAAATGCGGGAACACTATATTTATTCGGTCAATATTTCATTTTAGCAATACAGTTACAGAATATCACAATGCTGGTTACAAACATAGTATGGTTTGATGGTTACAAATAATGTCGGGCGCTGCAGTCTGTGAGAAGTAGGATAGGAAACGTGAGTCGACACGACAAGTAGGGTGGTCTTCCAAGTCTAGTAATGATCGAGATACTCTCATATAAATGAAGGTGGCACTACAGG